CACGAACTTGGTGCCTTCGCAACGATACCGACTTCGTATCCATTCCAAGGCCGCTTCGGCATCCAGCTCAATCCCACTTTGGGATGGGCTCCCCTTTGACTTCCAGAAACCGCGATAAGACAAAGCCACCATGGTGTACTTTTTACTAGATTGATTCTGTGACAAGCTTTTCAAGACGTTTGAAAGGTAGGGAAGTCGAGGCGGCAACGACGATGCGTTTCTGATCGATTTCAGTGGTGCGGAAGCGCAGTGAATGTACCACTGCAACTTACCCTTGAAAATACAGAACAACAACATGGTCCTTCACCTCAGGCTCAGCAGAAGCTTCAACCGATCCCTCTAAAACCTTGATCGCCGTCCCATCCGCGGCCTTGAGGTCATGTTCTACCCATAGCACAGGCTTGCATTGCGATGCATAATCGCTAACTTTCTCCGATCGGGAGAATGGCGGGACCGAAGGCATATAGATGATCTTGTTCTGGAAAACAATCATCATGAAGCACTTATACGTCCATAGTGTCACCAACAGTCCTCCAAAGACGACAGGCGGCAGGAGGAAAGCTGGAACTGACTCCACGCCAAACTGACGACTAGGGACTAATGGTGAGAGTGGATGGGTGAGTGGGAGTCGCGGCCGCGGTCGAGAAGCCGCATGTCGAACTGGAAGAGTCTTGACAGGGAGGAACGAACGCCGCCATACTTGAGCACATCTCATTGATACGAGTGCTCTGGCATTCAGTCTTGACACAGAAAACGAATGTTGACGTTTGAGGAAGCTCGACAAGCGCCAAGGCACTAAACCGAACACAGAACTGCTCTAGACAGAACATTCAGCCTTGCGCGGAGGCGATATCGAGAGATCTGTACTTGGTATCGAAGATCATGAACGCAAGGACGTCCCTTTGGGTCCTTGGACTCAATGGGTTCGGCGAGAATATCACGAACAGCAACACTGGCACAGACGACGACTCTCCCAAGTTTTCATCTTGGACGGCAGACTATTCGTGGGTCACCTTTCTTTAGTCTCTGGTTTTGCTCGCCCGCGCCTCCTGGTCTACCTAGATCCCCTGGCTGGGTATACTGATATCAAGTCTGAGATATACATTTCATCTCATCTTCGCCTTATCTCTTCTTCTTCACCTCTCGTGCCCCTCACATGTCAACTGTCTCTCTGTCTCTCATTCACTATCCCCTCTTCACTATATTTATCATGTGCTTGAAGCATTTACTTCTTCCCCTTCTTCTTCCACAAAAGCGCAAGACCTCACCCGTCACTTACTTAAGCGACACTTTTCAACTCGACTCATTCTCTCTCAAGCCCCACCTTCTTCTCTCTCTCCTTTACTGCCCAGCTGGTTATGTTCCTCTTCTACTCTTGCATCTGGAACGAAATAACCATATAGTCCTATGCGCTGTCATCGAACCCGGTTCGCTAATGCGTGCTTTGACCAAAATCCATTCACTTCATCTCACACTATAAGTTGTACTTGGCAACCTATTGACCAGTATATTATCAGCTTCTTGCTGCTCACCCGAGCTCCCAATTAGCTCAACTCGGAAATATCTGGTCTGTTTCACCTAATCACTCTCCAATATGGATCTTCGGCCGCGGCGTCCTAACCGTTATGATCGCGGCCCTGATCGAATGACGGAGATGCCTGGCGTTGGCCTAGTTCCTAATAGACCGCGCTCACCGAGCCGTTTCGTCAATCAAAGAGATCCTGAAGAGCGTCCTCGACGACATGACCCCACCTATGAGGGAAGCCAACCAGCGTTGGCGCAGCGAGGAAGAAGGTACCAGCCGTCCCAAGAGGAGGGCTCGGGCAATCCCCGGGCGAAAGGGAGGGACAAAATCCCTACACGCGCAGAAATTGAAAGGTTCGTGCCGGAGTATCACAATTCGATGCAATTCCTCGCTGAGAGCTTTGCACGCAGAAAGCGGGAGCTCCGCGACGAAGTCACACGGCAAGACGCCCTCAGCGGCAAAGGCGGCCATGAAAATATTGAATACACGGACCGTCACCTGTTCTATGCTAGAGACCGACTGCGATTGAACAGTAGGTTATCACAGAGGAGATGGCCCGAACCTGTTCGCGTCAATCAAGAGGAATCCGAAGAACAGCCGAGTGAAGTACCACAAGACACTGACGAAAGCTCACCACCGATCTCGCCACCTAACGAACGTGCACAATCGGCGTCCGGTGAAGTGTCAGACAATCCCGCGGAGTGCAGCTCACGTCCCCCAGGCCCAAGCCCGCCAGACCCAAGTGGAGGAAACAACAGTCACCGAGGTTGCATTTGTCCGATAGGTCTCGCCTGTCCAAACAAGGGGGATCACAAAATCGATTGTCGGACGCTAGTACTCGAGTGGACCAAGTGGCAGTGGCTCCAGATGCGAAAATGCGCTGAAATGTAAGTTGACATTGAGAGGTGGGTTTGTGGGCCGCGTATATTGACAAGAGGCTCGATATCAGACTGCCGCCGGACCGTCCCGCCGAAGAGGAGCCCTTCATCACCCTACAGGAGACCACACCGATCGTCAGGCTACTCGATCAGATCCCCGTACGGGGACGCATGACAATGGCGATTCGGCATACCTTTGCCAAGATCCAAGACTGGATCAGGATGATGCAGAATCATTCAATGACAGAAGAGATTCTCAACGAGTCTCGCGTGCGTGAGCACTTGAAGAGGTTTCTATCGGATGATAACAAGGAGATGCGGAGAGAAAAGGCAGTCCCAGAACATATCGTCGAAGACCTGACAATCTTGTATCGGAAGTGGGACCTTGGCGATCTCGGGGTCCTCGCTCGTCGCGGGCTCGTGGAACGCGGACCCAACCGCATGCTATTTCCGGATCCTGACTGGAAGTTCAAGCGCGACGCGGACTATTTCGGCCACGGCCTCCTGGTCAACGGTCAGACCTGGTGTTACCGCGCCGAGATGATGCGGGACGGGGCTCACGCACCGATCATCGCGGGGATCTCAGGCTCGAAGACGCAAGGGGCACGGAGTGTCGTGATGGGGTATCACGACCAAGGTCGAGAGGAATACTACGCCGACGTCGACCAGGGCGACACGATCTACTACTACGGCACAGCCCTGCGTCTGAAGGCCGGCGACACGGAGCCCACCAACCTCAAGGACGCCGTCACCCATCGCGTGGAGCGAATCACAAGAAACTCAAGGGGCGAAGGTCCCACCAACGCGACCCTGTCCCTCTTCGAGTCGTACTGGACCGGTCGGCCCGTCCGGGTGTTCCGGTCGTGGAGACTGGCAGAGATCGTCCCGCACCGGCCCGTCTCGGGCTTTCGCTACGATGGCCTCTACATCGTCACAGCCCCGGAACTGGTCAGAATCGAGCGCCAGATTTACCGCTTCAAGATGGAGCGCATGGCCACCGGCCAAGGCCCGCTGCGACACAGCGGCGCGCCGCTACGGCCAGAAGTCCATCGAGCGAGCCGCAAACGCAGACGGGATGGCGAGTGAGACTCGACTCAACTCATACCACCCTATCATTAGTCGTTTTGTCACCGACCATGACGAGCCACCATGAGAACCTCGAAAACGACTTAATAGATAACAACCGTTAGAGGAGGAACATCGAGCGGGAGCTCAACGAGCTTTACAAACTAACAAATTATCACACAGCTCTAACACCAAAGAGCCCCCCTCACTAAGAAGCTCGATCGATTCCGAGAGCTGATGCCAACGACATGCTTTTTTATTTCTCACCTTTTTTTTGCCCGGTTGTTTTTTTTTTCTCTCTCTCTAGCTGCCGCATTTCGTCCCCAGACTGCTCGAAACGGGCATTCGTCACGATGGAAAAAAGAACTGGCCCGTCGCAAGCCTATTTGCAAAGAAAGCCGTGCTGAGCGCGTGCTGACCTCGAGACTACGTCCGATCTTACGATACACAAATCATATTATGAGACACGATCACAACATGTGTACCAACACGACAAGACGTACGTACGTACGTACGTACCTACCTACATGACACCGCAATATTCCAGCCCACATTTTTCTTTGCTTTGTCCTCTTTTATGTTTCTCACTCATCTTTTCTCCCGCCAGCCATTATTCACTTCAATCCACCAGAATTTTGAGAACATGGACCCAGAAAAAAAAAAACAGAATACGGTGCTGACCGACCTGGAGTGATCCGAGGACGGGATGATTCATCCAATCAATCAATCAATCAATCAATCAATCAATCGCATAACGACGGATCGCATGCCACGATGAAGATATGAAATTAACGAAGTTTCTTTTTACAAAGTTACACACTTACGTTCCCACGAGATTCCACGCGCGTCGACAATGTACGATGGGAAGGGAGGGATGGAGGGAGAGCAGAGCAGAGCAGAGCAGTGCTGTGGTTCAGCCTTTCATCCTTCATCCTCCACGCGGCTTGGCTACCGACGGTGCTTACTCGTATGTTACTCGTACTCGGTACTTATGGGTTATCAACTTGGACATGGTCATGGATAAGGATAGCGATGCTACGGGGATGTCTATCGTCGTCTATCCATGCCTGGCGACCGGTAGGTATGCATATCGTATCCAGTCGGGAATGGAATGGATGGGATTTTTTAGGGCAAGGCTGCGCTGCAAAAAGGGGGAGATACTGGTGGGATTCGGTAGCCTGTGAAGCACTCATATTCAAGCGACAATCTCGAGGCTGCGCTGGGATTTTTTTCCTGCTGGCTGCTGCAAACGACGGAGCTGCTTCCACTAAATCACTGTCTTTGCTGCATGATTGGATCATCGATGCCTGGTCCATCTTGGACTGACCCAATATATCTTGACGATGGCATGGTCTACAGCTTTTGAAAGATACAATCTTTGAAAATCGTTGATTCGGGCATTTGTGCTGTTTAATCGTACAAGACACTCCCTTTTCTGGGCTGATCTCCTCGTCTTGGGGTATCGTCCAAGTCATCCCTCAGGTGACGGTCTCGGGGGGAGGTAGCAGCTCGCCTGTTGGTTTGACCTCACCTCATTGATCAGACTTGCTTCCTCCGACTGCCGTGTTGCTGTCCCCTTCTGTGCTCCTTGTGACGGCCCTCAGATTGCCAAAGCTGAGAACATCTCCGATCCTCTCTTTTCCCGTGAAAAGCATCACCAACCTATCAATCCCACACCCCCATCCACCCGTGGGCGGAAGTCCCCATTCCAGCGCCCGTAGGTAGTCTTCATCAACTTTCATCGCCTCTTCGTCACCTTCCAAATTTTCATCTGGTGTTATTCCGTTCTCGATTGATTTCGCTTGTGGGCGGGATTTAAGGCTGCCATATTTCTGTTGTTCCATGAACTTTCTCCTTTGCTCAAAAGGCGAATTTTCTTCCTCGTAACAGTTCACGACTTCCTTGCCTGCCATGAACAACTCTGCGCGTGCAGCAACGGGTTGATCATTGGGTGCAGTGGGATGGATGTAAGATTTCGCCAAAGGTGACAGGCACTCGGGGATATTTGTGATCCAGAGTGGTTTCCGTAAGGAGTTCGGCTCGAGGTACAGTGATGAAAGCTTGTCGACAAGTCGAGGGACGGTGGGATTGCTGGGAAGGGGCAGACTGCGAGAACGAAAAAGTTCAAGGAGCTCAGAGTAAGCCGACGGCGAGGACAGATTGGGAAGATCGGTCCCCAGGGCAGAGTTGAGAGAAGGGATGAAGTCAAGCTCCTCGTAAGGACCACAAATAGAATCGAGGAGGTGTGCGGGTACATTCGCAAATCGATAGGGAAGAGCGCTGATAGCCTGGTGAATGTCAATCACGAGCCGCATGGTCATGTCCATCAGTTGGCGCAGATCATGGCGGACGGCGTAGAACTCGCAGGTCGTGAACTCGGGATTGTGTGTCTTGTCGAGGCCTTCGTTTCGAAAAGAAGGTCCAATCTCAAAAACCTTATCCAGCCCACCGACAATGAGCCTTTTCAACCAGAGCTCTGGAGCAATCCGCAGGCTCAATTTCCGGTGAGGAAACTCCATTGCCTTGGTCTCAAATGGTTTCGCTGTTGCACCACCCGCGGCGGCGGACAGAATAGGAGTGGACACTTCAACAAATTCCCGTGACTCAAAGAACTGTCTCATTGTCCGTATGAGTGTAGCTCGGGCCTTCATGGTCTCTATTATCTCGGGATCCGTCTGCATTTCCACATGTCGAGGTTGAAAGTTAGACTCTGCAAGTTCCGTCGTTGCGAGCCCTCGATGCTCAACTGGAAATCGTTGGAGGCAAGGCGATAGAATTATGGGCATAGCAGCAGCCCGGATAGAGACCTGACCATTCTTGGCCTTGTACGGTCGAACTCCCTTCAGCGCTTACCTATACGTTAACGGGGCTAATTCTCACGGCATGTACGCATGAAGACTCACAAATATAGTCACCTCTTCTTAACAGCCGGCAAAAATACTTGAAGTCGGTCAAGGTTATGCCGGTGTCTTCGAGTGATGAGTGAGACATCATGACTTGTAGCTTGGTCTGATCCTCGGTGATATCAACGAATGCCAATTTCGAACCGCTCAGCCGGATGGAGGTCACTCTCCCAGACACTGATTTTTCCGTCAGAACTCTTTGCGTCTTTTGCTTCCCCAGTTGTTCAAGCCTTGCCTTCTGTCGTGTCACCAGGAACCATCGCACCATCATCCCCAGCATTGGTATCCACGTACTCCTGCAGTGTTCGCAAGCTTCGCGCCTGAGGAGTATGTTGATACCGCGGGTAGAGTGTGATGGTAGAACTCTGGAGTTCTTGCAGCCGCTCTTCTACCTCTTTGGTCGCATGCTGGCTTCCCAGTTTCGAGGCGCCGCGGGTGCTTAGGTTCGATGCTCCCGTCGAGAAGTATGCTCGCGAGATCCATGGCGGTGTCTGCAGACGCGCACTTCTGAGGAGGAATGTGGTTGAGAGGGAATCCCCAGTGGCAGCTTCAGGAACACTGAACACAGAGTGTCAGTGGCTTTTCAAGTGGTAATGTCAAGAGCACGATTATCCCAGTGCTTTTCGCCAAGGTCAGACAATCATTGGAGAAGTTTGATCACAAGCCAGCTGAAGCCAGCATCACTCGCAGCGGTTCTTCTTGGTGTCTCGTCATTTAGGCGGGAGGGGAGTGAAGGAAAGGAATTGTAGGCAAAGACATACCTTCCTCTTGTTGGCCGACGAGTCGAACGCCATGCTCGCCACGTCGACCTCCCGTACATGAAGCTACATGAAACAGGAAAATGACCTTGCACTTGGATACACAGACGACTTGTTTCGTAGCTGCGGTCGCGGGAATCCAACGATTGAAAAATAAATGGTTCGCCTAAGCTTCGGGAAAACTTCGCCTCGCGGTTCGCGTGCGTCTCCGAGCCACGCAACTTTCATTGCTACATTTCATATGCTTCGTGCATTTGACACTATTATCCAGATCTTTTAGAAACAAACATCACCTGCTCTTCCCTCGAAAAGAACTCCCCCGAAGAAAAGGAGCTATCGCTTACAAACATGTCCTTTCTCTTTGGTGGCGGCCGGCCTCAACCGACGTCCGCAGAAAAGATCGCAGCCGCTGAAAATGAAGTTGAGATGGTCTCAGACATGTTCAACAGGTACCTACACAACCTTCGTGGCCGGGCTGTATCTCTTTCAACCTCTTTGAGGAGCCTTCCGGACACCTCCCTCTGATGGATAGCGCATTGACCACTCCCAGATTAACGCAATCCTGCCTGAAGAAGTGCATACCGGCCGACTACCGCGAAGGCGACCTCAACAAAGCCGAGAGTGTCTGTCTTGATCGCTGTGTAGCGAAGTTCTTCGAAGTCAACATGAAAGTGTCAGAAAAGATGCAGGGGGAGGCCGCCATGAGACAAGGAGGAGGAGGCGGTGGTGGAGGTATGTTTGGAATGTAACCGCGAAAGAGTTATCAGGTTCTTCCATCATCTCAGTCGATGGTCATAATCCAAGAGCACATGGCTCGGCTCTGGACGGGGTTCTATACCTTTTTCATCGCAGCCATCATGGATCTACGAGTCTAGATCAAGGTACCATGATGGATTCGCAGGGTTGGAAAAATTGTGTACAGTATTTCAGTCGGATTCTACAATAGAATCGGCACAGAACAGTCCTGTTTGGGTAGGGATCTGGCAAGGAAATGGAGAGATGGCACAGTCAAAATCGAGCAGAGCATCAAATCTTCACATCCTACACTTTGGGACTATTTAGTTCGCGATCGCTATATCAAGGCCCGATTCGACCAACTTTTAGACTTCCCATACGCCTCGCTAATCTGCAGAGAGAAGCCCTTTCCTTATACCTCGCAATAATATTGTCCCATTACTTCTTTGGTCCCAAAAAGTTCAGCACCCGTGCAATCCAGGACGAATTTGCAGACAGCCCTTCGTTTTCTCCGTTCAACTCCCTTGCCCGCGATTCGATCAGCAGTACATTCCTCTCAAAGTCATCCACTGCATCCTCCACCTCTTGCAGTCGACTCTGCAAGCTGTCCAATTCATAATCCATTTTGGCTCCTAACATTTCCATGCGTCGAAAGCTCTCTGTCAAAGCTGTCTTCTCTTGCGATACAAGGTCAGACGAGGTAGCCTGTAGAGTCTGATATTCTTCAAGGCGATGATAGTACAGCTCATTGAGTTCTTCGAGATGTTGGTGCGCGATCCGATCCAAACTCTCCACATGGACCACTCGGCTTTCTGTGTACGGGATCAGACCTTGCTGAATGTGTTGGATACGTTTAGCCTTCTTTTGGGCAGAGGCCGCCAGGGCGTCACGTTCGGCTAGGGCATTGGTAAGGTCTCCCTCGATTTTGCCCTTCACAATGCCTTCCTCCAAAAGGTTTGTGCCTGTGTCCAGAACTGCACTTTCTACGACGCTGAAGGAAACGCGTCGGTTAATCCGGTTTTGCCGGGGGCTGTCGATGGTATGACCAGTCAGTTGAACATTGCTCTGCGTCCGTCGCAGCACCCGACTACTGAGACCTTTATATGGCACAGCAGCAGAGAATTTGCGGTAGATGTCCGCTTTGAACTCATTGCGTAGATCAGCCAACTGGGCCTCGACTTTCTTCTTCCTGGGCGAGTCGCCTGGCAATGCGGGTCGTAGTTGCTCTCTGTGTGATGGGATCTTCTTCTCAGTGGTCGTCTGAGTTCGGCGTAGGGGTTGACGCCGTTCGGTATGAGGCGAAACCGGTTCAGCGTTAACCAAGGGCATATCAAATGCACGAGGTTCAGATGGATGAGCGATCTCAGTTGCCGTTCTCAGCATATGATCTCGAGGGGTGTTTCTAGTCGCGGCATTTTCAACCCAATCCTGGGCCTCGTCAACTTCTTTCTGATAACGATGATTATAGCTTTTCAGGCCTCCAACAGCTCCTCGCAAACGGTGTCGGCCGGACTTGGTGTCCGATTGATTCGTGTATGTCGTATCTGTCCGCTCGAGGGCGTTTACATCTGACACAGAGTCATGTTGATTGCCTGTCCATAGGAAATTGCCTTGGTCATCAGTACAAAAGACTCTGCCTTTAAGATCAACATCGCCGGTTGGCCAGGCGAACGGGTCGCCCGATTTGAGGGGTTTCCCTTGCCAGAGCCACTTCATCTTGGGACCGGTAACGAGCTGAGCGAAACGTTCGATGTCCAGGGTTTCGGCTTCTGAGATACCGGCTTTGTCCCGACCTCCTACGATACCCATGACCATCTCCCCGCCTTTACCACTAAGCTCGGCAACAGTGGATTTGACTGCCTTTGGTACCGTCCAGCCTTCACCGCTGGCATTTTTGGCCGTAGCTCTGTGAAGCCGATCGAGAGTCTCTCGGTCAAGTCGTCGAGACTTTTCCATCTTCTGGCCTCTCTGGAAATGGCCGATGGCCCGTTTCATCGAGACGGTGTCTAAGACGTCCTTCCCCACAGGGGATCCAAAGGCTTTGAGCCGATTATAAGCTCCAATAAGAAGCCCAAGGAGAGCTGCCACAGTGGTTGGCCCCAGAATACCGTCGTTCGGTTCGACATTATAGAAATAGGTGCCAATGTCTGTCCACCACTCATTGATCGCTTGCTCGGTCACATCGCAAAGTAAACCATCCGCATATGTCGGTTGTAGTTTGTCGTACATGACCAAGGCGATTTGGCATGTCCGGACCAGTTCCATGACCGACTGATATAGTGGTACGGTCTCACTTGTCCGGTAGAGGTGGTGGAATTTGGCAATGGTAGAGGATTGAGGTGGCTGCAAGTTGATTCCGGCTCTCCCTGAGCAGCCCATGCGTTTGAGGTCCTCGTTGACAATGAAATCGTCTCGATGTTTCCTAACATCGCCATCTGGGACGGGGATCACGGTCAGAGCTGATGGAAATCCACTCAAGTTGGTGACCATGAGCGCGCCTAAAGGCGTGTCTTTCTCTTTTGCATGATATTGAGAGACTGCTTGGAAATAGATCTGTAATCTCGGAGACCATGTGCTCTCGTCACTGGGTACAGCAAGGACGTTCACCAGGATTGAGTGCGAAGGGTCGCCGGTGTAGGTACAAATAATGAAGGTCGGATGACTTCTCGAGCAGGCCCATTGCTCGACCACATACATCTCGTACCCTTCCAGACGCCTCCATCGTTCTATAGAATCAGTCGCAGGGTCTTCTTCAAGGTAGCGAAAGGCGACGGGATCGGCGAAAACAAGGCGCTTTCGATTTGGGCCTGCTCGTCCTTGAGTGCCTCCGCTGGACGTGGGACTCGACGTGTCGATGGCATTTGACTTCTGAGGCTTATATTCATCTTTTGGGCTAGATTTAACAGGCCTATCCTTTGGCGATCCGGCAAAGGAATTGGAATGATGGTATGGGGTGAGAAACCCAGCTCCCACGAATGACATTGTGGTCGGCGGTCAGTACCGAGAACCTCGTACAGTGCGAGGCACTAAGCTGGTAACATTATCCAACCATAAGGGCTTCGGGAACTCTCACCTCGCATAAGAGAGAGGTTATGCAGATAAAACGTCGAGGCAGGGACTGTTGGACTAATTGATCCAACAATACGGAGTTGCCTTGAGAGGAGGCAGTTGTTGCAAGTTGATGGTTGGTTGGCGGCGGATATTGCCACCCAAAGAGAAACCGCCCACGCCCGCCTGACCGCCAGCCCGCGTGCCCGCCCATGCCGCCCACCCACTTATCAGGGATCTACCACATCGGAACCCGCCCACTTCATCTAAGCTTGTTAATGTGGGCGAAGTCACCTGCGCTTCCTCGAAGACACAACCATCCCCTGCCTCCGGTCTGTATCTATATGCCTTCTAGTCGATACCTTCTGTCCAGCGATCTTCTACCAGAACTCGGACAAGAATTGGCGACGATGGTACAAGCCACGCTCAACTTATAGCCCAAGAAACGCAAACACAACTCATGAGGGTGGCCCACCATGGATAATATTCAGAAAGAGCACGAGAAAGTGTGGAATAACAGCAGGCTGTCAAGGACGACTGGCCATGTTGACGACATCATCAAAGCCCTTCAGAGGGCGAGGAACACCATAGCCGAAGACCCTACATCGAGACAGATTACTCTGGCAAAACTACAGAATCCAGTCAAGACATCATTCGACGGCATCTTCTCGGGGTTGAAGGACACACATGGACTACACAACAAATATACGAGAGCTCTGGACAAGGCATTCAAGGACAAGGTGCCGAGCAGTGAGGTTGACGCTCTGTCCTCACACCCAGCTCTGATCAACCGAGCAATCTACCTGCATTTGCTTCGAGAAGGGTTGTTCGATGTGGCGTCGGCCCTTCATTCTGAGGCGCTTGAGAGGCAGCAGGCGCAACAGGAGATAGCGGCCCATTTAGGACAGGATGTATCAATGGATCACCCCTTGGGCCTGGACAAGGAAGCGGAAGAGAGCATGCAGGAGCAGTTTTTGAACATGTACCACATCTTGAGTGAACTCAAGGACCACCACAATTTACAGCCTGCCATCGACTGGGCTAGGAGCAACGCGGCAGCACTGGAAGCTCGTGGCAGTAATCTGGAATTCGAACTCTGCAGATTACAATTTGTCAGTCTCTTCTTGGACCGTCGAGATGGAGATCAGTACAGTTTCGAAGCACCGATTCGTGCACTTCAATATGCGCAAAGGGAATTCCAGTCTTTCCGTGGTCGATACCTTATCGAGATACAGCAGCTGATGGGTGCCATA